ATTCTTTTGTCTTTCTTTTTCTGAAGGCCTAGAATTTCATGGCTGAAAAGAAGGGTGTGACCTTCTCATGCTCTGTGGGCTCAGGATATTTTTGAGAAGCATGTCCTAAAACAAATCCCCAAATCTGTCAATGTCACTATGGCCTGTGATTTCTTGACATAAAGCAACCAAATGTAATTGAAGACTGTGGGCTGTGGCCGAGGCCTCTGTGCTGCTGGTTTCCATCAAAGATTAATGCATCTAGACAGGAAATCCTTTTCCTAAACATCCAATTACCATGACACTAACAGAAGCCCCTTGCAGCATCCTTAGAACCCGAGACTTTCCTGTTTGTTATATGCCTTCAAAGAGATTCAGATTCATCAATGAGCTTCCTATTCCCTAACTTAAATGGATATAAAAGTTGAGAGTCAGGGTGGCCTAATTTCTTTCTTTTATCAACTTCTTTGTTGGCTTAAAGTATTTTAAGCAAGCTACAACAAACAAACAAAACCCTTAGAATAACAAAGACAAAAGCACAGTCTATGTACAACAAAGCATATGTCAATAAAAACCACATCTTAATGAATATTTTCTAATTGGTTTTGCCTTAGAGCCCTTATCAGCTTCCTCTAAGAAACATAAAATAGCCAACATGGTAAGGTTCACATTATTTATTTTTTAACTGCATTAAAAAATTTAATATAAATTTTCAACTTTCAATTGAAGAATGTTATAAAGTTAGGTGGAAGAACACAGTTTTAATTTTATTCTTTTAATTTTCATGAGAATCTCACACATTACTACTATATTTACATCATTTTGACCCTACATATACCCCTCCATTCTGATGTTTGGCCCCTCAGCTTTATGGCTTCTTTTAAAATTATTGTTTAACACACACACACACACACACACACACACACACACACACCAGTCTCCTTTCTATTTTTCTATTTTTCTGTTTATTTCTGCCCCATCATGAATCCCTGAATCTTGCCTGTCCTCCCACTCACCAGAATCCATCATTGCATCATTGCAGTGCCTGCAGGAGGTTTGGGTCATAATTGTATTATTATGGTGCCTGCCAGAGCCTTGGGTCTAGGTTACCTTCCCAGCAGGAGGTAGGAACAGATGCATAACTGACCCAGATGTACAGAAAGCCATCTATGGCTGTGTAGAGATTAAGTTTAGTTACTATATGGAAATATGCATCCCAAGACATAGGAACACAAAAGCTATAGTACAAATGGATGCTTCCAGAAGATTCCTCTTTGTGACTTTTGAGTAACTGCTTAGTTATGATGTAGTGTAAGATCTAGAAATTCCCATAAGTACCATAACATGTAACAAAGGCACGTTTCTTCTGTGGTCTAGCAAGGTCTAATCCAGTCCCAGGATGAACATTACCACAGTATTAAGCATGTATCTGAAAATCAACCAGGCAAATATTCCTCATTATCCCCTTGTATGTATGGCTCTTAACTGCTGCATCTCTGTTACAAATAATACAGCATCTGCTACCATTAGCACACATCTTTGTGCATTCAAAGCTTACAAAAGAACCTTTCACTACTTTTTATTCTATCTAGTAAGGAAAATGTGTGTCTAGTGGACATTTTCAGGAAGAATAGGAGCTGATAATTAGTGTTTATCAATCTCATTGCAACCTATTTCTCTCTACTCTTTCTTTATTCCCAGTGCTATTCTTCTGCTCAGTAAACAGAATATATATATATATATATATATATATATATGTGTGTGTGTGTGTGTGTGTGTGTGTGTGTGTGTGTGTGTGTGTGTGTAATAGGAAAAGGCTATCATAAAAATGCACTGAGTGCAGAAACACCTTAGAAACACCGAGCACTGATTTTCCTAAAGGGTAGAATTGCCTGAGTTAGTAAAGCCATGGTCAAAGACTCAGCTGTGAACATGCCGAAAAAAGTCTCGTGTGTACATTCAACGGATGTGTTCCTAGGAAATTAACACTTCCAAATCAGAAAACCAATCACACTTTGAGGAAGAATTATTCTAATTTATTTTTATGAACAGGACCATGGTGCTGACTTTGCAATTACAAAAGTTATCTGCTAAGGCAAAAAGTCAGGACCATGGTGCTGACTTTGCAATTACAAAAGTTATCTGCTAAGGCAAGTCATTTAGAACTGACAGCTAATGTACATTCAAGGGATGGTTAGATAGATGTGTGTCTTTGGGCCTGTGGCAAGGCAGCAGCAGAATAAAATCTTCACCCTGTGGCTTTACTACAGACTTCCCTGAACGAACACTCCATGATTAAAATCACATTCTGGGATGAGCTTCCAGCTGCTCTGTTTTTCCTTGTCAGGATATGCATCCTAATTACTAGTGATTTTAAACATGCTTGTTCTTCAGGATTCAAGTAATTGCATAATCTCACAGAAAAAATGATTTTACAAAAAATGACAGAGTCACTGCATATGCACATTTTATAAGAAACTATGCAGATATAGATGGAGCCCTCTCACGTGCCTGCCTCCATTACAGTAGTTTTGTTCATTAATGGGAAGGGCCCAGCCTTGAATTGGCCACAGATGCACACAGGATCAGTGGTGCATACATTTGTCCTACTTCACAACCCTTCTTCAAATCCTACATCTCTAGAACAAACCCTGAGGGTATTGACTATACACAAGCAGGGATTATTGTATTCATTCCTCACAAATGTATATGTGCTCAGCCCTTCCAACTATGGATAGTGCCTGTGAATGAGAACACACACTCACACAGCACTGAGTTCTGTGCAGACACACATGGTACAACTTTTCTCTGTCACTTCAGGAAATGTGTGGTTAAATGCAGACACAAGCCAGTGTTGTTTTTACCAGAATTTCTATGACCTGTGGGGTGCCACAGAAAAATTTACTCAATGAGTAACATGAAAAAAAATGTCCAGGAAAATATTAAGTGTTGCAAACATCATTGTGTGTTGCTTGTTAAGTTTGCATTAACGTAGCAATTAATTCATTGATCCTTAGTCTTCTGAAGTTGATTTGACACCAGGTTAGCTGTAGGGATAAAGCATGAAGCATAAATATGGAGCCCAAATAGGGCTGTAAAACCTCCAAATGGTAAAATGTAAACCCATGTGTTACCACCACACTGTCATTCTCCTCTAAACATCCTACGATTTTATAATGAGACCCATGTAGAAGAAATATGTACTTCTATTTTTTTTAAACTGGTAAAAGTATACCAGGAACTTCAAAAGTTCAGCGATTAGACACGAATAGGGAACAGCATTCCTTATAAAGAAAAAATCCTTGAAAAATAACTAAGCTATATCCAATTGAGGTAAGCCTCAGCTTTACCAAGTGCCACCCCCAAAAGAAAAGACTTAGTTATTATAAGAAAAATTTAGGTGAAGGAAAAATTCAATATTTGTGGATTCAAATATTACTATCATGAAGATGCAAGTGAAATTTCACACAGGATTCTATAAATTTTGAAGCAACTTTTGCTATCCCTGAACAACCTTGTGTTATGTATGTCACTCATGTCATCCAGATTTTTTGTTACTGTAACAAAATGCTTGAGCCAGTCAACCTAAAAGGAGTACAGGTTTAGTTCAGTACACAGCTGCAGATGCTCTAGTGCATAGGTGGTGGTGCCTCAGGGTTTGTTCTGAGGTCACACATCCCAGCTGGATGCAAATGGTAGAGTATCACGTAGCAGGACAAGCAAAGAAAGATAGCAAATGGCTTTTGTCCAAAGATGCCCATGGAAGACAAGCTTCCCACAGTGGTTCAAGTTGCCTCCTAGGTCTCCCATTTAAAGTTCCCATTATGACTCGAGAGCCAAGCTATGACCAAGACTTTAACACCTGTTCTGGGGAGACATGTGCATTCTCTAAATCCCTTCTGTGTTCCAAATACAGTGCTTGGCTAAGACTGTTTTAATGAGATAATTGATAAGTAAATAGTCAACAATGAAATCATGAATATATTTTAAAGTCCCCCCAGCACTCCACTTTAAAAAGGAAAGGAAGATTACAGAAATATCAGGAAAAAAGTGTTATCATCTGGCCCAACTTTCCCATGTTTGCCCCCATAACAACAGGATTAGAAGCACAGTGTGGCATGGGAAAAGCACAGGGAACTTCAGTTCCTACCTGTGTGTTTGAAAAGCCATTGCGAAGCTGTGTGTCTGTGTGTGTGTGTATACACATACGTATGTACAGATGTATATACATGTATACACACATATATTTGTCACATAATATGTGATTAAATCCTCATAGCTGACCAAAGAGACAGTATTTTTTCCATATTTATAAATGAGGAAAAGGAAGCCCAGATAGGGTGAACTGACCTGAATGTCATAACTGTTGCACATTGTCAACTGAAGATAATTTCTCCATATTACTTTCATTTACAAGATGGTTTTATGTAGGTTTTATTTATAGTTATTTTTTATTGAGATGCTTTAATCTGGATTGGTGATGCATGCTTATAATCTCAGCAAGGAGAATGAGGCAGGAGGATGAATTTGAGGCCAGCCTGAGCTACAAAGCAATAGCCTATTTCAAAACAACAACAACAACAACAAGAAAAGAGAAAGGTGATTCTGAGCCTCTTTTACGAATGCTTAATGAATAATATGCAAGTGATACTTTTCTAGTTGTATTCATACCTCATAATGTTGACATCTTATGGCATGCCCTTTAACCTTTCTTTTTGTTGAAACCCCACTAGTTCAACAGTAATTATTTTAAGTACTATTAAAACAGTTTACAGAGGCAGTGTGCAAATACATATTTTAGGTGAAAAACATAGTCAAAGATTTTTATGAATGCTTTCCAGAAAGGATAGTTTTCAATTCTGTTCAAATTGTGTTTCAAATAAACATTTTGAAACTAGGCCACATTCTGCACTCTGCTTTCCAAAACTGAACATTTCCCATCTACACTTGCTTTCTACTTCCCAGGCACACACAGCCATTGTTTTATGCTAAATCCAACCAATTGAAAAACATACTACAAAGACTTTGAAAAGAATTTATTTTCAAATATGGAGGGAGTTCAAAGTCAATCTGTAGGCCAACATTAAAGGTGACAGAGATGATTGCACTCCATAACAAGAACAGTGGTGAGGCCTTGGTGCAGTGCACTGTACCAGTTCCTACAGATGACACCCACGGCAATGACAGTGGAACCCTGCAGCACACTGGATCTGCTGGCATCTGGTGACAGGATGCCAAAGCCACTTTTCAGGGCCAATAAGAGAAATGGAGATGTGCTGTCCTTAACCTCCTGCTCAGAGAGATGACAATGTTAATATTTCCCAGAACTAATTATAGCCACCTGCTTTCAGCCTGCCTCACAGCCTCATCCTATGACCCCAGCAGCTGGAAAAATGATGCCTGACAAGGACATGGCAATTTTGAGCTTCGTTCTTGGTGTTTTTACCAATGATGGATTTTTATATGACTGCATTTCTCTTCATTAATAGGAAATGTTAATCGGGATGAGTAAGAAAGAATAGGCTCATTCCACCTTCATATGTTGTTAAAAGGATAATGTATGTGTCTAATTGAAGTATAGTGGTTGTATATGTTTGTGGGTAGAATGTAACATTGCAATACATGGATGCATTACACAATGCTCAAATCACAGTCTTTGGTGTATCCATCACCTCAGTTGGGTGTCATTTCTTTAAGGCTATTTGTAGACTTTTCCATTCATCTTGTCTCTAATATTCTATGAGGAATACATTTTCCTTTTCAGAAACTACAATGCCATCTCTTGTCTTCATCACACACATTTATATATTTCCTAGGAACAATCTCATATTCTAGGAAACACACTTTACAAAGTATCTCAGAGTACCTGACTTAGATCCAGGCTCTCACCCTAGACGCAGCACCCCTCTTGCTCTTTCCCCAACCCTCCCAAACAGTTAAGGTTCCATGAGGAGAAGGTGCTTGCTCATCCAAAGTCTATCTTCCTCTCTCCATACATTTTTTTCTGGGTGTTGGCTCTCTCCAATTGCTGGATCAAATAGCCCTGACATTACTTCCCAGGTGATTTCTATAGTATCCCCTTTTGTGGGGGGTGGGTGGGGAATCACAGTGCTTATAAGCATGACACCAGGCCAAGCAAGATTAATGGGAACTATTTTTCAGGGGTCCAGCTATTTCTGGAGATTCACCATGCAGCTAAACATGTGTACAAGCACACAAGCACATGAAAGTTTCTTCAGCATGCTGATTGCTATAAAGCTAAGGGAAGAAAAGGAGTAGGCTATGGGTGAAGAATAAGGGGTCTAGTTCTACAGAAACAAACTCCAAAGTGTCAGAAATCCCTGGCCTTCCTTATCAGTCTAACTCAGTGCTTGGTAAGACAGCAGACAAACCTTAAGTAATCATATAGTATATGACTGACTTGGAGATTTACCTATTTAGCCTTACAGCATCCACTGGCTCCTATAATATGAAGGTTAGGGGTCAAGCCTGAGGAAAAGGCAAAAGGAGTGACCTGCATCCCATGTCCTTTTTCCCAAATAGTAGTAAACTCATTTAAAAAGAAAAACTCAGCCTATCAAAACTTAATCACACAACACAGGAATTTAATTTTTTAACATAATTTTCATAGATTATTTGGAAATTTCACATCATGCACCCCAATCCCATTATTTCCCCATTCTCTCCTTATCTGTCCTTTCCCATGTAGCATTCCCACCTGAAGGAAAACTAAAACGGGAAATAATAACAATAAAATAAAAAGTAAAAAATATAAGTAAGAATATTAATTATAAAACAACCAAAAATTTAAAAAAGAACAGAGCTTTCAGACAACAGTGGCTCAATTCCACAGTTTGTAGATTCTAAAAAAGGAAAAGGGCAGCAAATCCTATTATAATCACCCTGGTCCTGGATGCTTCATCTTTCAAAACACAATACTCAAATTCCAACCCAATGTCTTTGCTTTCACTGTGGCTCTTTCTATGTTTCCCTTCACTCTTCGAACTCTTAACCTGTACAGAGATCACCACTGTATCTAAGCCCTAAATCTAAATGAGCTCCATGGGACCTGAAGCAATTTAAAAAAAAAAAAAAGCAGATTCAATATCAGGAGTAATTTCAGACACTAAAATTTGAAGTTCAAATAAATCACTTAAGTAAACCGGGACAGAGAAAATGTCTCTTCCTCGATGGTTTACTGTTCTAATATGTTTGGCAGCCGGCAATACCCTTTGTACAGATAAGAAATGCATGCCATTACTGTCTAGGGGGCTTCCACTGTGGAGCAATAGTCTCTTGTCATCATAACTGAAAAAAATAGAGTCCTTCACAATTGATGACAGTTGAGAATAACACAGAACACAAACTGTGTTATTTGAAGATTGCACCCTGCCCTGTTCTTATACAGCTACAGATCATCCGTCCTATGCAACTGACTACAGGCAGTCCTGTGAAAGTTTAATGAAGGGCTCCAACATCTTAGTGACTTACAAATTTGTTGCAAAATCTCTATTCAAGAGCAAATTTTGAAGGTTTGAGTTTTTAAGTTCATTTATAGATACGAATTTTACAACTGAAGTTCATCTATATTTGTAGCACTTTTGAGTAAGAGAGTCTGCAGAATTATATAGGACAGCAAGATCATGTAGTCAGATAAGATGTGCAAATATGAACAATTTCACTTATGTTTATGGTGTGTGTGTGTGTGTGTGTTTACTTATGTACATTCTCACACCTTTGTTGATGTGCATATATACACTGAAGCCAATGGCTGATATAGGATTATAGGATGTCCTCTAGATCATTCTCTAGACACTTTTCAGTGTCTCCTTCATAGCCCAGAACTTGCTCATTTTCAGTCAAGCTAGCTGGCTTGCCTGGGAACCCATCTCCACTTCTGATTGCTGAGAAAACAGTTGGCTCCTACACTTTCCTGGGTTTTTATGTAAGGGCCAGAGTTCCAAACTCCAGCTCACATTTACACAGCAAGCAGGTTACCTGCTGAGCTATCTCTTCTACTCTACAGATGCAGTTCTTAAAGCATGAAGGACTGTGATGGGGCATAGGTGATACTTTCAAAATGATTTCAACAAAAACAATTCAACTCATTCCACAATAAAGCAGAGTACAGGAATGTGGTCCCTTCTTCACTTGTGCATTTGGACAATTAAGTCACGGAGACAGGACCAGTGCTTTCTTGGTCTTCAGCAGCAGCAGTAACAGAACTGGGACTGATAGTACTGCTAAGTGCAAGCCATATTAGGAGAGGATTTCTTCATAGACTGGGAGGTTGACAAGGAGGTTTTGAGAGTCAAGGCAATAGGTTCTGTGATTCATAGGTACTGCTCCTGTCAAAGGCGTGATAATCATCTTGCCTTCCTCCAGGGTTGGCATTTTCTGCATTACATAAGATCTCTTATATTTGTCCTTGAATTCATCTGTCCTTATTGAGAAAACACCAGTCTATCTCTGTATAACTTTGTGAACATCTGTGAAGAAAACAGAAATCAAAATTATCCAGCCTTTTCTATAAACGATGGCTCAAAATACAGTTAAAAATTAAATCAGTCATTTGATTTGACAGGAGCACCCCTTTAAAGTGAGAACTGATGTGGGGAGGTGGGATATGGAAAAATGAAACAAGAAACCAAATGTTATACAAACTTTCTGAAATGTGTACGTTCCTCCAATTTTCCATGACGCCGTTCTGTGTGCACAGCGCACCAAATAACTTCAGATGGTTTTGCTTGTTGACTTAAGAATGGAAATGTAAGAATGTATTACTTATATGCTATAAAGTATTAGTAAAAGAATCATAACAATTTTGTGCATTTAGAAGTGTAATAATAGTACAGAAAAAAATTGAGTCATAGTGAAGTAGTTCATATTTGTCATCCTGACAACTGGGTAGTAAAGACAAACCCTGTGGCTGAACTTGAGTTTCAATGCTACACTCAATAAACACTCCACACAGCCATGTTTCTAGATCAGCTGGTGATCCATATGCTACTGGAATCTATATTATTTCTTCATCTATAACCAGCACATCCCAAGGATCGACTTTGAACATTTGCATTTGTGATTTCAGAGGAGTTTTTACACCCCAAATGGTATGATCTACAAAATAAAAATTAAAATTAAAAAAAAGAATTCTTGTTGAAAATTTTACTCCCTAGGACCTCATGAACTTGTTCAATGTGGCTTCTGTATTGATGGGAATGTGTAAGCAACTTCATATTTCTGAGCTCAGTTTTCTTCTCTCAATAGGATTCTGTGTTCATGAGCACTGCTATATTTTTATAGTTAATGAAAGTTTTGGTTAGTTTTAAGAGCAGCCTTTTGTTTAAAGGCAGTTAGGGCATTAGAAGGAAATTCTATCAAAAACTACAGATAGAGAGATGGGAAGATGCTCAGTTAGTAAGGTCCTTGACACACAAAAATGAGGTCCTGAGTTTGAATTTCAAGAACCCACATACAAGAGGATATGGTAGTGACTGTCTATAATCTCTGGGTTTTTCCAACAAGACTGGGTCAGGGTTTGGGGAAGGGAGAAGATCTTAAAGCCTGTGAGGCCTGGTCACATTGTGTACACAGTAACCAGTAATGACAATAAAAGATACCATCTCAAAGTGGATGGCAAGGAGTAATACCTGATGTTGTCCCTCAATAAACATGCCCAAACCACATCACACACACAGACCACAAAATATGATTTGAAAAATACTATTTGCTATGGCCACAAAAAAAATGCCTAAACATATACCACTTGAAAAAAAAAATCTCTAAAATGCAAACCGATTACCTATGAGAACAAAATGTTATAAATAATATTTTAAAATATGTAGACATAAGAACCCACAACTTTGGGCTTGCAACTAACTCTACCTTGAACATGGAATTTACATGAAAGTCTTTGTTACTAAATTTGCATGCTTTTAGTATCAAAGTTCTGAACTTCTGAACCAATCTAAGCGATGAAGAGTAGATAAAAATGTGCTTTTGTAAAACTTAGTAGTAGAATAATATTTACATAATTAAGCCTTTAAGGTTTTTCCCACATAAATTATTCACCTTGGCATGGCTTTTTCTGAAATAGCTAGTATCATGTCCCATTTTCAGTGCTATGAATAGAAATAGTCTGGTCTGGAAACCTTGATTTTATAGTTGGGCTTTTTTTCTCCTCAATATTTTGCACACTCTGAAAAGGAGACATAGAGGAGACAGTCTAAAGCACTGTCCATCTTTCTCGTGGTATTTCTGAGAAAACAATTAATTCCAACATTTAATTTTAATTGTTTAATAAAATATATTTTAAGATGTTATGTTAGTAAGCAGAATTTGGCAATAAGGTCTTAATAAATTATAGCATGTTACAAATTGCATAGGACAAAACACTGAACAGAAAGAAGGTAAGGCAATGTTAGCAAAGAAGGTCGATACAGGCTTTCTAGGAAAGAACGGGTGATTCCATGTATTTGAAATATGACAGAGACAACCAGAAACCCAAGATGGGGGAGCATCCTAAGTCTCTCATTTCCATGAGCCAAAGAGAAAAGACTGGAAAGATTTTTATTTCCATAGATTTAGGGGTAAAGGAAAGAGTCATGTGTACATCAGAGGTATGGGGACATAAAATGTAGGGCCATTGCCCCAGAGAGGCAAGAGCCCAGAGCCAGCAAGAAGCAGATTAATGGGAGGTCGTAAATGGTGTGAAGCGGGCAAGAGAGTAGGACACCTGGTACTTCCTTCAAACTCTCCATCTCAGATCTGGAGATTCATTCCCTGGGAAGGATATCAGATGATTGTGTTAAGGATACAAGTTAGAAGGTGGTGCTAATCAATGACTCCCAAGTGTGCCCAAAGAGCACACTAATAAAGTGACCCAGGATTAATATGCACAATGACACACCTTTACACACACCCTTGGCACATGATGAGACATTGATATTTCAAATCCAAACACTGAACAAGAAGACTGGTTAGGAGAGAAGTCCTGGCTGAAACAGGGTTTTGCACAGCTAACTTAAGTCAGGCGTTTAATAGAGGTTCCAGAAATTACATTATGTTCTCAGAGAGAGTTAGTATTCAGAATCTTGAGATCTAACCTTGAAATTTTCTTTTCTTTCTGTTCTTTTTCCTTTTCTTTTCTTTGCTTTAAAATGACTGCTACCATGCATGACTCTGAACCCTGAAATGTTATTAAAACAACTACTGCTATACAAACATGATCTTGAGGACATGGATAAAGTGGATTATTTCAATATGAATTCAACAAGAGTTTAAAAAGCCCTTTCAAAGTAGGTAATATCCCCGAGGCAAGTGTTAAAAAAGCGTTATGAGTCACCACAGATCTTTCCCATTATGGCTAATACAGCATGGAGTAGCCAGGGCACAAGCAACTGTCAGTCTTAACCACTTAACATGGAAGTGTGCCGCTTACAGGCCTTATCATCTCCCTATCAGCCTGGGCCAATTTACACATATAGTTAGCATTTCCTATTTTCATAAATGGCAGTGATAAAAGTCTTCTAAGAGTAAAATTAAGTTTAAACTTTTGATATATATTAGACATTCCCACATACAAAAACCCCCCACTGATTCCAAATAACAATTATAAAAGCCTGACAAATAAATAATAAAAATACATGTAGGTGGCAGTTATTGTTAAAATGAATGAAAACATCAATTTTTAGCGGTGATAATATTCACACACTAAGCAATGCTTGTTGTGTACAGAAGAAAGTCTAGTAATTTCCTGTAGTTGTTGTCACTAGTTTCTGATGGTTAATTTGCTCATATTTAGTGTTTGTTTAAATCACAGTGTATTTATACATTATGGAAGCTGACAACCTGTTCATGCTAAGTTATAATTTTAAAAATGTGAATTCTAATTAGCATTGAATATAGGCTATGTTAGGAATGGGAAAGATAATTAAAGAGTGAAAAGAGGAATGGTAAAAGAGGCTCTGATGACCATCCAGCAACATCTGACACATATATGCAGATCAAGGAGGCTGGATCCTCATATTGTGATGGTGCTTCTGTCTACTTCCAGGAGCATAAGCAATGGGGATGCTGAGGAGGGAAAGCACCTGCTCCACAGTTGGCATGTCTGATCTCAGTATGCCATGGTTTCCCACAAAGAATGTGCTTCCCGATGGAAGAGTTTTCAGGCACAGTGAATGAAATTATTACATACTCATGAAAATTAATGCAACTAAAAATAATTGCATGAAGCAATTAAGTCAGTCACAATGGGTCAAGAATCACATTATAGAAATCATGGGTCCAGCATTTACAGTCACACAATACTATATATGTACTGATAACAGGAAGGACAGTGGGGTGAGAGGCATATGCTCGGAGTCCAGTAGATAACTATATGATGATGACCCCTTGTTAAAAAAAAAAGCTATTTGTCTAGTCTACTGTTCAATACAGAGTAAACTTATTGTAGTGCATTTAAAGTAATGGAACTTTTTTTTTAGGATCTGTTTTCAGTTTGTTCCCATTTTTTTTAATCCAAATGTAACAGGATCACTGATGGGAACAAGCTAAAACTCATAATTAGTAGCAAATACATTAATATCACTCACCAAAGATTTAGTTCTTGGTCATCCTTGCCTGAGGCGAGGCTAGGAGAGAGATGTAGACTTCATTCTATGCCTTAGGGAAAACTGTACTGGGAACTCTCATCAAACACATTCTACCAGGAAGCCCCCAGGAAATATTCACTGATTCAAATTCACTTGCCTTTGAGCCAGTAGCCATAACAGCTTTTCTGGGTCCCTGAGCTCTGTTGTATGATGTGGTATACTGGTTCCTAGAGAATTCTTTGTCCTTAATCTCCAAACCTATGAATCAGGCTATGTTACACAATAAAGGAACATTAGTGTCATTAATCGTTAGTCTAGATAGGACAGGTGGCCCTGATGTAATCAAAAGGTTCTTTACAAACAAAGGGGATCTCTGAAGTATCAGAGATGGCAGTGCAGAAGATACTTGGCCTGATGTCCCTGGCTTTCATAGTAGGCCTATGAGCCAAGGAAATTAGTTGGCCCAAGAATCTGGAAGACAAGGACATGTAATCTCTTCTAGAATTTTCATGAAAGAAGACATCTTTGCCAATACCTTGATTTTAGGCCCCTGAGATATATTTTTGCACTTCTGATTTGCAGAACTGGAAAGTAATAAATTTTTGTCTTATTTTTTATAACTAAATTTGCAGTATTTTTTTTTTTTACATCAGCAGTGGGAAACCAACAAAACCACTATTAAACTAAGTCAGGAGTAAGCAGAGGAAAAGGCCCCCTCTCTCAAGTGAACAATAGCACCATGATTGATGGTTTCCATTCCCACAATCATTTGCAGCTTTTCTATTGAAAATACATACTGTAAAAATATTATTTGATATAAAAGAAACAACAGCTTATATATATTTATGTAAAATGTATAAATTTGCTCTTTCTATGTAACTGTCTAATTAATTATGATCATACAAAATTAAAACCACATATTATGATTTATCTTTTAAAAGGTAAACATTTTAATCAATTCATTCTGGAAAGTAGGTATTTATATCTTAAGCTACAAATCAACATACTTGAAAACCATCACTTGGTAAAAACCCTACTCATTCTACAAATTAACTATTGTTTCTAAAATACTGGAATACTAACAGTTAACAAAATAAATTCTTTTGATCAACATATTTCAGATATATACTAGAGGGTAAATTACTACCCTGAGGTTAAGTACAAGATTATTTTTATGGTTCATATGGAGCTGTTTCACCTAAGTGTATTTCTACAGATACTTAATATTAGGAGTATCTTAGGGAGAACATATGCTATGAATTTTCCACATTCCTTTCTTTCTTTCATTCTGTTTTAAGGTGGTACTGTTTCAAAAAATCGGCCTGCTTCTGCTTTATTTCAAACCTTTTCACATCCTCAGACAGATTTCTCCCTACCTGTTTATCAGCCAATATCTTTTGGCAGTATTTTCTATGTAGAAACTCTTTACTTTTCAAAAGACATTCTCTTCCATAGTTCAAATGCTTGGACATAGGATTATACCACCCATGTTACCATTAGTAACCATTCCTACACACAATTTATTAATCTTTGATATTTTTCCCATTGTTGAATCTTAGACTATGAAATATATGGACTCCAATAAAGGAAACACATAGAAATTGAAGAGATAAAACTCCAATAGGGATACATTGTGGTAGAGTATACAAAATTTCCCATGATATTGGAGGACAGAATGGGTACTATTCTTCCAAGAAGAGTTGGCAAAGAGAATTGTATAGGTTGTATGACATATTGCCTTTAATAGTTCATTAATTACATAAATTTTAAGGGAGCAACAGCCTTGTCTGTAATATACTCACATCTTCTCAATAATCTCTTATGAATGCTGACTATATTGTCAGCACCTACATTTTAAGTTTTTGTCACGGGGCAAGCCAGATCTCTTTGTCCTTTCCTTCCTATGCCTAGCTGCTATTCCTTCTCAAATCTCCCTTCTTTTTCTAGGATGCATCATTTGTCCTCTTAACAGACAGCTAATCTCTACCGAGATACAGCATACAGAAATAACTGCCAAGCATCAGTAGCATGTAGCTAAGGTAAGTAAACAATAAGGTCAAGATCAGAATTCATATTTGTTGTTTCTCTCTTGGTATCTGAATCTGATTCTCATACCTGATCAAATACGCAATGCTAGACACAGGCTGGTGGATTCAGTTGTTTGGAAAGGGCATTGAATGATATGATATTACCAGCTCAGAATCACATTGTGTGCCCCTTCTTCAATTATGAAAATCGATATCTCCCTTCCTAACTAATCTTTGAACATTATTCATACATAAAAGTACTTGATGAATGATTGCTTTCTTGACAAGAATATGGACATACAAAATTGGAAATGCTTACAAATGGGTACTTGTTTTTCTTATTTCCTCTTGTGCCCTGGTTAGTCACCCTGCTTACTTCTTTAAAGGTTTTTTATATATTGAATAGGCTTTTATTTGAAATGTTTCTACTACCAAACTTTATTCATTAAAGGCAAGGACTATGATACTTCAACTTATCTTAAATGGGCCACCAGATGATTTGTGTCTCACCTCTACCAAGGCATGAATTTTAATTATTTAGGTTAGACATATAGACTGGCTCTAATTACCATGAATGATCAAATACAGCTTGTCAGAATGCTGGCTAGTCATTTAGAGCAGGCTTTTGATTGAGGAAACAGAGTTGGTAAGCTAAATGACATGCCAAGATCCCAAGGATGTTGTGTTTTCATTTTTATTTGCCTTGCTCCAGAGAACAGAAGATGACTAGGTTTAAAGAATACTAGTCTAGGTTTAAAGGTTACTTGTGTTTAGACCATATGCAAAAAGACCGTAACTCTTAAGAGAATTTTCCCGCAGGTATCAGCTTGTAGTTATTGTACTGCTCTGAGAATCTTCCGTCCTCACTGTGGCAAAATGTCATCTTCCAGCTTTGACAAATTATTGTCTTCCAGGGCTGAGAGAGGCTAGACTTCCAGAAACTGTCTACGTGAGGTAGTTGGTGCAAACCATTGAGAGTTAGCCACAACTAGGAGAACAAGCAAGCTACAAGGAGCAAGTGACAATGAGGGAAGCCTACACTCTTCATGGGGGATCTAGCACTAATGTAGGCTTCTTCCTACTGGCACTGCAGGTTTCAGGAGAGACATCACTTGCTTTTCCCAGGAGAGTTTTCTTTAAGATAAAGAAGATAACAATGAAAAAGAAATATTCCCAAGGAAATAGGGGTTGAGGGGAAACTGGGAGCTGCCAGTGAGAGACCAATAGGGAGAAGTCATCAGTCATGCAAAATCTCTGAGCAGCCAATGTTTCTCATTAGAGAGACAGGACAGAGTCCTGCCTCTGAAACAGAGCACACTTACAGGAAAATCAAGTGGCAGGAGCACATGAAGCTGCTCTATATTCTAATATACACCTCACCCTTGGGTTTGATATTAAATACCCAGACTGAACAAAAAAACAGTAAGAGAAAATGTGGTAAAAGAAAACACACACAAAACAAGCAAACAAATAAATAGCCAAGACATTTTCCAATGTGGGAATGAAATGGGCCAACCGTGTGTGAGAGGGGAGTGGGAAGGTAGAAATCCCTAAAAGTTGAGTGATAAAATAAAATAATATGTTAGATTCAACCAGACCACTCAATAGCAAGAATTTTGAAGAGTCAATGAATTAATACTTTGTATACAGAAAAAGTACAGCTTGGGGGTGTGAAGGGTAGTCTCACAGAGCTTGTTTCAAGGGATAACAATGATAAAGAAACACATGCTGTCTGTTTACATCGCACTCAGTCTAATCTGCTCAACAACTATTTATGACATCAGTCATAGATGACACATGTAACACAAGCCCCCCCCCCTCCAATACACTGCTTTTTCTCTAAAATAGAGCTAAACATAATATTCTAAGAACGGTATATGGAAAAAGAGACTACAGAGGCATACTATCCAGATGCATTTGTAACATTTTTATTTATTGAGATTTATTTTTTGCATATGAGTGTTTTGTCTGTTCTCAGGTCTGTGCACCATGCACATGCAGTGGCAGTGAAGGGCATCAAATGCCCCTGGAATTGGAGTTTGAAATGTAAGCCACCGTCTGGTTGCTGGAACCCAAACTCATCTTTGTAAAAGCAGCAAGATGTCTGAACCGCTCATCAGTCTGCTCGGCCCTTCAAATTCAATGACCAACTTTGTTTTCATCTGATTCATAAGAAAAGAAGGAAGGAAAAATGGTAAAGGAAGGAATGGAGGGTGGGAAGAGAAAGTAGAAAGGGACTCTCACAAAGTATCTGTGAGACAATCAAGGGAATATAAATTAAATATGAGCTAGGCATTTGAAATTAATAAGTTGTAGCACTTTGGGCATAGCTATGAAAAGACTGTGTTAAAATGCACTTCTACCTGACTAACATGTGCTGTTGTACGTTTAGGAAAATAATACAAAGGGGCAGACAGGAGAGGTAGCAGCTCTGCAGTCCATCACTTCCCTGTGATAAGCAAGTACTTGGGAGGGTATGGATATGCAGAATCACTTGCCCTAAAGAAATCACTCCAGAATTGGAGGAAAGAAGAGAAAAAGACTTGAAAAGTTGGACAATGAGATAAGTGTTGAATGTGTGTCATTGATACTTAGGGGCAATTGTCTATTTTCTCTACATATGCATATGCTTAAATTTACCAAAATAAAGTTGAAAATGAGTGAAATTTTCCAATGGGTAGGATACTTTTAATGGATTTCTGTTTTATTTTTTTTCAATGTACCTGGTTGTTTCCCTCAGTGATAAGCATAGCATGTTACTGTAATTAGTTGTATTATAACTTAACCCTTTAAAAATGGTTTGAAATAAAAAAGAGTATTGTACTTGATTAAAGAGATTTTCTTAAGAAAAAGAGATACCCTTCCCCTGATGACATAACTGGGAGTTGAAAGTTCTAGGTATGCTTTGATATAATGGTTAAGAGTCAATCTACTAAAGTCTCAAGTAACTCTGAGGGCTACTAAAAGAGAAATGTGGATGCCCAGCCACAAAATCTTTTACAATCTGTCCTGTCTGAAAAATATCCTTAAGGCAATGGTGGCACATAACTAACCAATATCTGCTTTGACTCCTTCAGAAGTAACCTGTATTTGGCACTGTTTGGGGCTCAAGAACCAGAGACTAGATAGACCAGAGACCCAGCTTAAAAACCCAAAACTATTAGTCTAAAAATGTCAACAAAATGATTCCTAATGATATTCTGCAACACACATAGGTTAGTGCCTTATCCATTCACCATCAGGGAAACTGCCAGCAGTAGATGGACATAGATGCACGGCTCACAGCCAGACATGTGTGGAGAAGAGTCTAAATTGGAGGTATCTATGAGATTCCTCTTCTCAGAGATCAGGGACTCCCACAGAAGGTCTGGTGCAGAGACTGAGAATCCAAGGGGATGGAGGACACCAGGAGAACAAAGCTCTATGAATCAGCTAAGCAGGGTGCATATGAGCTCACAGAGACTGAAGCAGGAAACACAGGGCCTACATGGGTCCTCTGTGTATATACTACAGCTATTAGCTTAATGTTTTTATAGGATGCCTGACACTGAGAAAGAGTGGGTCCCTGACTTTTTTGCCTGCTCTCCAAACATTTTTCTTGGATTGCCACATCCAACTTTGATATTACAGTTTTTGCTTCATCTTATTATACTATTTTGTCATGTTTGGTTGTTTTTACAAGCCTGTGTTTTCTAATGATTCTACAGAGAAACAGAATTTAGAAAAATTGAGTTATCAATAAAAAGAAACATTTTGATAGGTCAATCAAGTCATCTCATAGTTAATTTACTTCATCGTGTACCTGTCCATTATACATCATAAAATAGACCTTGATTCACCCAAAAGTTCTTTTTTAGTAAAGAGGAAATAAAACTTCTATGTGATAAAAAAAGGAATTGTGTCATATTCCAGTTGGCAATAGTTTCTTTAGTGAGTTGTAAAATAATGGTACTCCCTAGAATTAATAAATATCCAGTATCAGGAAAACATAAAAGGCTTTAAAAAATTGGGTGGGTTAGATAGTAACTCATGGCCATTGCAGAAAGTTAAAGATGATCGAAGTATAACTTCAATGTTGGGGATATTTTTAAAGTATAATCCTAATTTTACATCATTATACTCTAAAACTAAAGACAAACCTAATGATTGCAGATCATTGTGCTGTCAGCAAAATTTCTGTCCACACACACACACTTGCTGGGAAGAACTCTTCTAAAACCACTAGTGGCTGAGAGGTCATATTCTGCATCACTCTGAAGATCAGAAACAGAGCTGCGAAACATGAAAACCAAGCCTTCCTAACAATATGAGTTACATGTCTATAATCTCCTAAGGACTGCAATTAACAAAGATTTAAATGTAAGTTCTAATACATATGAGATAATATTGCACCACACAGTCATAAGAACTCACAGCTACCACATTTTTATTTTAACTATGCAAAATGAAGGAAAGTCTAACTAGTAATATTACCTTAATCCCATTCCTAGACAGAAATATCACCAGGTTTCTCCTGGGAATTACATTATATAACATCTATCATTTTCTAATTAATTTTAATTATTTATTATTTAGTCTCAAACTTCTGAAGTAGTCAGTAACTCTTATGCTAGTTTAAATACAATAAAATAAATGACGATCTTTCCTTTTCTTTACTGAACATTTTTTGTCTGTTTTCAATGGTTTATCATTCCTGGGTGAAAGTGAGTTTGGGTGTGTTTGGACATGGTGACTGTTATAAAAAAAATTGCTTACTAATTATTTCAAAATAGAAGAAAAAGTTATACCATAAAAAGCAAATAATAGGAGAGAATTAAGAAAGAAAATGGAAGTAAGTGGTGAGAGAATGGAGAGAATGCATGCTTTGCTTTTACTGGAATAGCCTAAGTGGGGATAAACGTAAAAGACTAGTGACTCTAGCTTTGGATATTTCAAATTATCACATTACTGCCTTTACATAAATGAAAACACTAGTATTCTGAGCAGGCCTACCAACTATTCTTGTTCTTCATTTGAAGCTGTCTCTCATGAACCTGCCAACATAAAAAGAATAAACCATTAACAAAATAGTCATGTCATGAGAGTTATATATCACAAGCCAATTTGCCTCGATATAAGTGGTAGGCATAGTATTCCTTGTTAAACAAATGTTTCCCATTTTACAAATATTTTTTCAGGTAGATGTAGCAAAAAATAAACTTTTTAATAGGCCATTTTATCATTGTGATAAAAGGTAGTGCTATACAAATTAAATTAAAAATTATGAATAATCCCTGTACTATCTGGTAGCATGGAAAATAAATTACGTTTGTCTTTGAATAAAATATCTACCTATATGTTCCTAAAGATGTATTTCATGAAATTCATCTGTGCTCCTTACTGACCCAGGAGGGCACACAATGGTTACACTGTCGCTCTGTGGGATATCCCACTAGAACTAAATATAAGACACCTTTGATTTCCTTGCTGAGGACTGGCTAACCTAATTTTAGATAACCTGAATCTTTCCCTGTGTAAGTTTGTACAAATGAAGCTCTGGTTCTATTGTCCTAGAAGCAGAGAGAAATGTGCATAAATTGACCTTTAAACAATTGTTTTGATAAAAATATAAAGTGGGAAAGATTGTACAGGCACACACACACACATAACTGTGCCTTCAACCTTTTAGGAGAATTACATTTAAAATGCTATGCTCCTAGATGGATACTGCTTATAAAACAACCACTGACATTTAAATCAGTTAGTTATCTGTGCTGGGGAATATTCAGAAGTGCCATCCTTTCCCAATAAGGCTGCCCATTCACCTCATTCTTGAAAGTATTTTGTTTCCAGTGTGCTTTCATCACCTTGTGCATTATTCATCCCTTCCATGATCAATGTAGATGGGAAATCAAAACACAACCAGAAGCATCTTAGATGGGGCTGTGAGACACGTGATGTCCTGTGACAGGTATGCATGTCAGGAGCTGTGTTTGCAGTTCAAGACTCCACTAATGAACCAGATAATACTGTCTTCATTGAAATTGAGACTGTACTTTCTACATGTGCAAACAGGCTAAACTTGTGCACGACCAACATTTTCTTAAGAATGTCAAACATCAGACATCTTTATTAAAGCCATAAAAACACAGAGCATGCCACCATCTGTGCTTTACTTACTATTCATAATTTCAAGAGTCCCTGGATGAGACATATTATAAAGACCAGCATATTATGCATAACATCAATACAATTAATAGAACAAACATATCAAGAATATTTTTAGGGTCTCATGAACTGTGTTGATTATTTAGGAGACATGAGGTAAATGTAACAGTTTTGTTGAAATAAATCTGTTTGAATTACTGAAATCATAACAAATGTGCAGATAGATGATTTTTATCTGTTTTTATTTCCTACCTAATTATCTGCACTTGGTTTATTCAAATTATAACACCAAATAGATATTTATGTAATACATTCAATGTGTCATTTAGTTTTCACAAGAAGTTTTAAATGTCATGATACTGATCTTAATATTACCTATGTTTTATTAATAGTAAAATTTATTAATGATATCATTAGTATATTATTATCAATACTGTTATAATTAGTAGAATTAATATTGTTAGTACCATTTTTAGCAGTAGTATTTTCTCATTCTTTACTTGGACAAAGGAGAAATGAGGTTTGAGGTCAAATGCCTAGTGCTAACTCCCAATATAAACAATAACCACAGTATCTTCCTATTTCTTGCTATGAGATGATATATATATATATATATATATATATATATATATATATATATCATAGGTCTCAGTATCATAGATGGACATAAGCTAAAAGTCAGAGTATAGTTAGAATGAAGATAAAAAGAGAATATAACATTTAAATCAGGAAGAAGTGGAAAAACCAATGGAGACAAGAATTTACACTTTGCAACAAGTGCAGCTGAAGGACTTCAGGCAATAGAATTGTGGAATATTCTAGGAATTTCCTATATTAACACACTGAGTACTGAGAAGAGAGGGGAAGGTAGCTTGTTAATAATTTGAGGGTTACTAAGGTGTGGTGATATATTTATGATTTATTAAAGCTTGCCTGAGAGTACAGAGAGCAAAGCCATACACAAGCTATGGAGATCAGGTAGTGGTGATACACACCTTTAATCCCAATAGCCATAGAGCTACTACATGGTGGTACACACCTTTAATTCCAGGACTCAGGATTAAGAGGTAGATTGATCTCTTAGTTCAAGGCCCACACTGACTACAAAAAATTGATCCAGTCCTGAAAGAAACAGCTCACACTAGGGAGGTGGAGATGGGAGTGATATGGCTGGGCAAATAAAGGAATAAAAGGCAGGAAGAGAAAGGAACTGGAAGCTTTTTGACTTTGAGTATTCATGGAGGTAGGATTTCTATTTTAGCTTGTAAAGGCAAGACCTACTGTCTTCACTGCTTTGCTTATCTGACCCTCAGCTTGAACCCCAATATCTTTGGGTCTTTTATTTTTCATGCTACACTTAGAATTCTAAAGAGTGACAGCACTGAAATCACAAGCTAACAATAAACCAGAGTAAATGGTGTTACATCAAGCACAACTGAAGAAAATTTGAAAAATTGAGACTGGGTCAAGGATATATTATCTCAGAAGTGCCTAGTGCCTGAAAGATGCAAGAATCTGAAAAAAATATGTATCAGATTACCTGAAGGTTTGATGTAATTAGTTACATTAAAAACGAATACTACAGGAATAAAATCCTGCCCAAGATGTGCAGAGTTGCCTACCTGGTCTCATGGAAAATAAATAAAACACAGTGTATGCCTTGGTTGCACTAAATATGAATATTTTCTAAGAATAGAGGAGTCCTACACAATCCTGCCCCCCCTTGCTTACATCACACATGTTACTCAGATTCTTGGCATAACAAATGACATAGAGAATGTATTAAACAACAGCATATTTGAGATAGGTTACAATACAGCAATAAGCTTAACATTGAAGAATAATTTTCTGACATGCATATATCCTTACCATCAAATTATTGCATTAGGCAAAAGAAAATTCAACTGCAAGGAAAAATATTAACATATGTGCTTTGATAGTTTCACAGAGACAATTTTGGAAAGTAAGCTTGGAAACCAAGTAAAATGAGGCAATGTGTGATGAATACGTGGATATTTTGTTTGGGAGAATGGGATGTCAGTGAGCATTTTGCATTGGGAAATTCTATGATTAGCATTTCAGTTTGGGCATGATAACTATGGCAACAGATGGCTTAAAAGTCAAGAACAAAGCAAGGGGGATCAATTAGGTACCTGATGCAGTAATTTAGAAGTAAGATAAAGAGGATATGGATCACACCTATGGCAATGAGAGTATAGAATGTTATAGTCTTGTAGCATGGGCAATGAGTGGGATGGAGAGTAAGAAAGAACATTTTCTTAAAGTGAAATGAGTCTTTATTGAGAGGGATGAATAATGTACGAAAGCCACATAATCACATTTTGCTGCATAGAAACACCTTGTTTCTTAGTAAAATATCAATTCCTCACTCATTGCAGTTATAAAGTTTCAAAATATGTTATGATGTTATGGCATCAATGTACAAGGCTCATACAACATGTATTTTTTCTGTTTTCTTTCTTTCTTTCCTTCTTTCTTCCTTCCTTCCTTCCTTCCTTCCTTCCTTCCTTCCTTCCTTCCTTCCTTTTTTTTGGTACAGTGGTGCTGGCCAATGACTAGGATTTCTTATTTGCTAGCTCACTCTTAATTATCAACCATAACTACTAATCTATATATTTTATAAGAACTTATCTTATTGGATGCCAGCGGCAGGCATCTTCTCTTGCCTGGATCACATGGTGGCTCCACAGAGAGGAGAAGAGGAGGAAGAGAGCAATTTCCTGCTTGTTCCTGCTTATATTCTGAGTCTGCCTGCTATGTCACTTCCTGCCTGGATCACAAGACTTCTCTTTACTACATTTCTCAGAATCCTCCTCTACTCCTAGTCCCATCCAACTTGCTTCCCTATTGGCCAACAGTACGTTATTTATCAACCAATAAGACAAACATATACATAAAAGGACTTCATCATCTCCTCTTTTCTGTCTGAATAAAAAGAAGGGTATTTAACATTAGAGTAGTAAAATATATAACAAAACACCAAGTAAGAACTATAGTTTCGGTACTTAGTTCATTAACTTCTAGCAAGATTTAAAGAAAATATTCTATCATCTATCCTATCTTTGTGAGTCTAAGGTCTTATATGCAACTTCTCTTTTATAATAGTAAAAAAACCTATAACCATAACTATGAGTCTTCAACTCCATCAAAGACCACAGACGGATAATATATAAACTCTAGATCTCACAGAGACATCTCGCTACCTGGAGAGTCACCCTTATACTTGAAGCAGGTGCATATTTTTATTAAGCATGAACTCAATTTTTTAAATTGCCTAACATTATAATTCCAAGTCATAAACTTTTTCATAAAACCACTCAAAATTGATTTATCTTAAACATATTATATGCATTTTGGCCACTGTAACATATGAATGCATGTCTAAGGGTGGCAACATGACACAGTGGGCAATCCTTCCAGGGCAGTGCCATTTACATTTACTTGCCAACATTGCTCCCCTGCTTCAGTAGTGCAGGCTCTCTCTACTCCACTGAGTGTGAGAAACCAGTACATTCATAAAGTGAAGGGTTTCATTCCTCATTCATTTTGTCAGGGTTGTCAGCAAATTAAAGTTGTTCAAAGCACTTCCTGATGAGTCTGAAGAGACTATCTCTTATTTTTGTCAGTGCCATTCTGTTCTTTTCTGCTACTTGTGTGAATGACTTTGTCCTGCCTGTGAAGTGTTTTCAGTGGGTTGTAATCTGGAGATGACATAAACAAAATTTCCGGCTACTATTCTTAAACACTATCTTTAAAACCACTTGGAGCACAGATTAAAGCATGCATACAACTTTTATGGTTATATATCTAGGAGCCCA